ATGGATGGCTGAAAACAGGGGGATTGAATGAGAGCTGGGACCTCCATGCCCTTCCCCTGCCCTGTCCCATAATGCCAGCAGCCAGGCTTGTGCAGCCCCAGCAGTGGATTGGAAGATTCTTTCCTTGAGAAATCAAACCAATCCAGAAAAAAATGCCCCAGATCCTGAAATGTGCATGTCCCTCATTGGAAATCTTGGTACACCCCCATTCCTTGAAGCTCATCAGCTAATAACTCCTCTTCCCACTTGCAGAGGCTCCAATCTGCTTTTAGTACTTTACTGTTAAATAGGATCAGGCAGCCAAGGATCTGAGTCCTCTTAGGAAGGGCTTCAAGAGGAAAGAAAGGACCAAAACAAACCAGCAAAGAGATACCTTACAGAAGATGGAGATACTGCAGAAAGCAGAAAAAAACATTTTCTTTTGAAAATTATAGTATCTTCAGAGAGAGAGAGAAGCTATTTCATGTCTAAAATGAGAATAGCATTTATGAAACAGGACCAATTAGAGAACAAGAAGGAGATAATGGGGATTACAAATTAAATACTTGAGTTTTAAAAGAAGTTGAGGATGTAGCTCTCAAAAAGTAAAACGAAAAGGACAGAGTTGAAAAGTAGATGAGGAAAAAAATCCAAAAAATTGAAACTCAGTCTAAAAGATGCAACATTACTAATATCTTAGATGCAAAAACCAAAACCAAAATAAAATGGTTCTTTGAACATTATCACAGAAATAATACCGGAACATTTCATGGAACTAATGACATGAATTTCCAAATTGAAGAAGTATATTAAGTGCCCATGTTTTATAAAACCCTCACTCAGATACATCATGGTGAAATTTCAGCCACAGTAGGGACAAAGAAAAGGTCCTAAAAACTGTCAGAGAAAAGTACACAGGGCACACACAGAGGAAAGGGTGTCTTAATAGAAGAATTCTTAACGACATCCCTGGAAGCTACAAGGTAATGGAGTAATACTTTAAAAAATCAGAGGGAGGGGCGCCTGGGTGGCTCAGTCATTAAGCGTCTGCCTTCGGCTCAGGTCATGGTCCCAGGGTCCTGGGATCGAGCCCCGCATTGGGCTCCCTGCTCCGCGGGAAGCCTGCTTCTCCCTCTCCCACTCCCCCTGCTTGTGTTCCCTCTCTCGCTGTATCTCTCTCTGTCAAATGAATAAATAAAATCTTTGGGGGAAAAAAAATTAAAAAAAAAAATCAGAGGGAAAATTATTTCTACCCTGGATTCTAAATCCAGCTAGACTATCAATCAAAAGTAAGCATAGAATAAAGACAAAACACAAGGACTCAAAAAGTTTGCTCCCTTGGACCTCTTAAAAAGCTACCGGAGGGCACCTGGGTGACTCAGTCAGTTAAGCATCTGCCTTTGGCTCAGGTCCTGGAATTGAGTCCCACATAGGGCTGTGTGCTCGGTGGGGAGCCTGCTTCTCCCTCTCCCGCTCCCCCTGCTTGTGCTTGCTCTCTCTCTCTCTGTCAAATAAATAAATAAAATCTTAAAAAGAAAAAAAAGCTACTGGAAGTGAGCTCCCTCAGACCAATTGGGTAAACTAAGAAAGAGGAAACTTAGGAAACAATATGCAAGGAAGAGAGCAACCAGACCCTAATATAAGGCGGGAGGATGGAAGGCTGCAGAAGGGAGGGCACCAGGAGAAAAGATCACCACATTATCTGATAGTTTGGTTATTTTGAAATTAGTGCTTGGTAAGCATCTAACATGGGATGTCGCTGACGAAAGGATTTAAGGATAGGTAGGTGTATCAAAAAGAAGACAAGTGAGAATAGCAATCAGATATTAACCCTAGAAAAGTTAAAGTTTTATAAGGAAAGATGGCCAGAGTCTACAGTTTGGCTCTTTAATGAATATTTAAATAGTCATAACAATATATATCAAAATAATATATAAATAATGTATAATCATAATATAAATAATATTATTGAGAAGCTAACAGAATGAGAAATTTGCATGTATGGTGTGTCATCTCCCATATGTAAAACTGGTAAGTTAGGCAATTGCAGCTAGGCATGTTACTGGGCACCATGGAGGTGAATATCAGAGAAATAGCTAAAATTTGCAATTGGTTTCCTCTGGGGAATGTGACTGGGTAGAGAAGGGAAGCTGGAGAGTCCAAGTTTTCATTATATCTTGTTTTACTTCGATTAAAAATGAAATTGCCTAATACTGTTAAGATACGTCTGAAAATACAAGTAGGCATCATGAAATCATTGGGGTTGGTGAGTTAATAATGGATTTGCAGATGAATGTCCTTCTCTAAGTTGTTCCCGTTTGTAAAATTGGGGGTGATGATGTCTAACATGTTCTACATTTAGAAGAATAATCACCAAGCAGAAGTGACAACACTAGGCTGGTAGGAGACATATGTATCCAGGCAGACCCAAGACAAATTGGAAAGACAAAATAAGTCAGGATGCACTATAGCTGAATAAATAATTGGTAAAGTCGTATGGATATATTTTGAATGCCATGCCTTAAAAAAGAGACTACGCCCATTACCCTTTAAATGTTGACAAAAATTATCCATACATTTGCCCACAAAGGAAACCTCAATACATTTAAAAAGGAAGGAATAATAGAAACTTAATTTTTTGACTACAGTACATGTAGAAATTCACAACATACAGAAATAAGGACCCTCCAAGCCAAAACAACACAACAGCAAACATACTGGATATGAAAAGACTTTCTCGAAAACAACTCATGGGTCAAAGCAAATATCAAATCCATAGATTGAGACTATGTAGGAAATCATGATAGAAACATTACTGTGGTAGAAATTACTGGCTGCCTTCCCAGCGTTAACAGGACGTTGATTTTGTTGAGAGTGTCAGTGACCAGCTAAACATTCCTGTTTCTCAATCCGTCCTTGTAGATGGGGGTGGCCATATGATTAAGTTCTCACCAATGAGAAAGATATAAAATAATAGTGGTGGGTGGGACTTCCAGGAAAGCTCCTTAAAAAGGTTGACTCAGCTGACCTACTAAACCTTTGGCATATGTGATGCTGGGTTAACCATTTTGTAATCCTAGGGTGACTAATACATGCTAAAAGTAGATGAGTGGAAAGATAAAAGAGGTATTCCTCAGAAATATACTGCCATCCATTCTGGCCTTGGACTTCCTGCCTCTGAGGGAAAAAAAAATCCTAACTCTAAAGTTGCTATTTTGGGTCTCTTTGTTAGTAGGAGCCAACACAGTTCCTAACTGACAGTCAGATATCACAACTCATGGGATGTAATTAAAGAATAAAAATAGGGTGCCTGGGTGGCTCAGTTGGTTAAGCGACTGCCTTCAGCTCAGGTCTTGATCCTGGAGTCCCGGGATCAAGTCCCACATCAGGCTCCTTGCTCAGCAGGGAGTCTGCTTCTCCCTCTGACCCTCCCCCCTCTCATGCTCTCTCTCTCAAATAAATAAATAAAATTTTAAAAAAAAAAAGAACAAAAAAAATAAATGAAGCATGCAAGTCAAGAAATTGGATACTGAACAACAAAACAAAGGAGAGCAGAAGGAAATAATAAAGATCAAGCTAGAACTCAATAAGAAAATTAAAAAAGAGAAATGATTGTGAAATCTTGAGAGCTACTCTTTAGGAGAACAGTTATTTTTAAAAAATATATGTAGATACACATTTTACTTGCTCAGTCAAGAATTAGGTGAAGAAGCACAAATAAACACAACTGGATAATGAGAAATTATAAAGGAGATGAAATGATTTACATTTTGTAAAACTCTGTGCAAATAAACTTGAAAATGTGGATCAGATAGATGATTTTCTTGGAAAATGTGCTACTAGACTGACTCCAGAATAGAAAGAAAACTGAAAAAGGCCCCTAGCAGTGAAAGAAATGAGACAGCTGTTATGTGTGACCACTTGTTACTGCTCTTCCTGGGGCTTCTTTGCTGTTGGGGTTCTCTAGAGGGGGTGGAAGTGAATTTCTGGTGAGAGGCCTCAGAGTGTGGGGTGGGTTGGGCGTCCTGCCTGGTGATCTGCGTTCTGTCTCTGACAACGGTGGCCATGCCCCAGAAAGGTGATGGCACTGATTCTTGGCATTAGGACACATCCCAAAATAAGGGGCCCCAATTCTTTAGTTTTTTGTAACATTTTTCAGATCCATGTGTTACTGGAACCTTTTTGGTAAGAAAAAAATGATGAAAAATTATTTTTAATCATTTGCTCTCATTGGCAGTCTCAGGAACAAAATAAAACAATGTTCTGCACATCATATACAAATAAATAGAAAGATTTCAAAGCAAGATTGTGCATAAAAAAGGTTGAAAATGCTATTCCAACAGGAAGATCAGTAGTACAGGAGAAAAGAGAAAATGGTGAACATCAGCGTGCCTTCGGTCTTAATCGTTTCATGGAAAAGTACCTTGTTCTCAAATGCTAGTAACTGGAACATCCTATTGGTTAAAAATAAATAGCATAAGTTGTGAGGAGACCAACTAAGGAAAAAAACAAAGCAACCAGAATGGCCTGTCAGCTAGAAACAGAATAAGGAGGTTATGCCAAAGGTGTCAGGTTCTTATGCCTGTCGTCCCCCAGAGGCCATGGTTCAAGCTCGGTGTTGACAAAACCATGGTCACGGAGGGCATCCAGAAAGGCCTGTTTGGATGAGCATTTGGTTGAAGTGTCCTTGCTGGTTAAAGTGTTGTGTTTTCTTGGAACTTTCCCCTCATCATCTTCATTTAAACAGATGTAATTCTCTGGGCGCCTGAGTGGCTCAGTCGTTAAGCGTCTGCCTTTGACTCAGGTCATGATCCCAGGGTCCTGGGATCGAGCCCTGCATCGGGCTCCGTGCTCTGCAGGAAGCCTGCTTCTCCCTCTCCCACTCCCTCTGCTTGTGTTCCCTCTTTCGCTGTGTCTCTCTCTGTCAAATAAATAAATAAAATCTTTAAAAAAACCAAAAAACAAAAAACAGATGTAATTCTAACCTAATGTCCTCTTTTTACCCCATCTTTCCCTGGTAGCGGGAACAGTGAACCATGGAGCTGTATTTCGGTGAATATCAACATGTGCAGCAAGAATATGGCGTCCATCTGAGACTCGCAAGTGATGATAGCAAAAAATCAAGGAATTCCCAACACTCTAAGGCAGGCTCCTATGGTGTCAGTATCCGGGTGCAGGGAATTGATGGCCACCCCTACATAGTCCTGAATAACACGGAGCGGTGTCTGACAGGCACATCTTTTCCTGAAAATGGGCCACCATTTCCATCTCCAATGATAAATAACCTGCCCCTGCATTCCAGCAATGGGTCTGTGCTGGAGGAGAGCAGCGCAGAAGAATTGCAGCTCCCAGAAAATCCTTATGCCCAACCCAGCCCAGTAAGAAACCTGAAACAATCCTCTCTCTTTGAGGGCAAGAATGGGGTTCTCGAATGCAAAGAAGGGCCAGTGAAACCATCCCACATGTTGAACTTTCAGAGGCATCCAGAGCTTTTGCAGCCCTACGACCCTGAAAAGAATGAATTGAACTTGCAAAATCATCAGCCTCCTGAGAGTAATTGGCTAAACACTTTAACAGAAGAAGGTTCCAACAATAAGAAGGCTTGGACTTGCTTCCCCAAACCTGGTAGTTCCCAACCTACCAGCCCTCCTTTGGAAGATGTGGGCAAATCCAGCGTGACGGCCATTCGTTTGTGCAGCTCTGTGGTCATCGATGACCCCAAGAAGCAGACCTCAGTGTGCGTAAATGTTCAGAGCTGCGCCAAGGAGGGGCTGGTGGAGGAGGCCCTTTCCCCTAGTGGGAGGTCCCTGATGGCCCACAGCCCACACACCCATCCCGAAACCAAGAAAGCCAGGCCGGATGTGCTTCCCTTCCGGCGACAGGATTCAGCGGGACCTGTGCTGGATGGAGCTCGGTCCCGGAGGTCCTCTTCCTCATCGGCAACTCCCACTTCGGCCAACTCTTTGTACAGATTTTTACTTGATGATCAGGAATGTGCCATCCATGCCGACAATGTAAATCGTCATGAAAACAGACGGTATATCCCCTTCTTGCCAGGAACTGGGCGGGATATTGATACAGGATCAATTCCTGGTGTGGATCAATTGATTGAAAAGTTTGACCAAAAACCCGGGCTTCAGAGGAGAGGAAGGTCTGGGAAGCGAAACAGAATCAACCCAGAAGACAGGAAGCGGTCCAGAAGTGTGGATAGTGCCTTTCCTTTTGGTCTCCAGGGGAACGCCGAGTACCTAAACGAATTTAGCCGGAACCTGGGCAAGTCCAGCGAACACCTTCTCCGCCCGTCGCAGGTGTGCCCGCAGAGGTCACCTGCTCAGGAGCACCGGGGGAGACAGAGCGTGGGCCGGGCCTTCGCCAAGCTGCAGGGGGCCCACCTCAGGCCTCCCCAGCAGAGCAAGGATGGGAAAGTTCCAGAAAACACAGGTGGTCGGCAGAATACAAACACGCACGCATCTTCCCTCCCAGCACAGAATAAAAAGGAGGAGGAAATCAAAACAGCCACTGCGACGCTGATGTTACAGAATCGGGCACTAGCAACTTCGCCTGACTCCGGTGGCAAGAAGATTTCTGTGAAGACATTTACTTCTGGTACTCAGGTAATGCTCAGGTGGGCCTGAGGTAATGCTCAGGGAATGCTAGCTGTAGGAGGCTACAGGAATGCAGACCCTCTGTCTTGAATCACTAACTGCATATTTGATTTGTGTCAGTTTTCCCCTACAGAGTTTTCAACTTACTGCCAATTGTGTGGTTTTCCAAGTTAACTCAGGTACAGCTAGAATCCCATTGTGGTCTTGTCTGTCAAGTGACCTGACACTATATGCTTGATTTCTCTGTGTGTGTGTGACATCTGAAGGTGTGCAGAATTTGTTTCCACACAGAGGTTCAGTGCTTAGGTTGTGTAGATATATTGACTTTTCTCATGACATTGAGTGACTGGGTTAATATCTGGCCTGAGAAATTAGGTTAATTTTAATTTAGGTGAATCCTAGAGTGACGGAATTTACTTAAGTGGTATATTTAGTGTTTTGGTAGTACCAATAAAAAATAATGATAGTGGTAAAAATGATGATAAGGTTGGTAAGTGTCAGGCACTATTTGTTATAGATTCTAGGATTGCACCAACCCTATGAAGGTAGGTACTATTAATCTCCATTTACAGGTGAGAAAATTGAGGTGAGGCAAAGTGAAGTAAGTTGCCCAAGGTTACAGAGCTACTAAGTGGTGGAGCCAGTTGTAATGAGGATCCTTACCTGAGGAATTGTTTTTGGAAAGTAGGAATGTGTTTGGAAGCTTCTGCATCAGGGTTTTGCCTTCTTCCTGGAAACTTCATCCTGTGGTCTAATAACAGGCTTTATGTTCCAGGCCACACCGGATCTGTTGAAAGGCCAGCAAGAGCTTACTCAACAAACCAATGAGGAGACGGCCAAGCAGATACTTTACAATTACCTCAAAGAGGGGTTAGTGATTTTCCTTAAAGGAGCAAAGTCTTGTCCTTTGGGGGGGGAGGGGCTCTTAATTTCCTTTTCTGAGACCTTGTGTTTTCCCCTCCCTTCCTGCCCTTGTGCGAACTCTTTGAGGCTTAGGAGTCAATGGCTGAAGTTTGCATAACAGTATTTGAGTTGTGGGTCGTGGGTGTGAAGAGCAGGGGGAAAATGAATTTATATATATAATTTATTTTTTTTAAGTAATCTCTGCATCCAATGTGGGACTTGAACTCACAACCTCAAGATCAAGAGTCATGCTCTTCCAACTGGGCCAGCCACGGGCCCCTATTTTTCAAATGACTCCTTATTATTTAAAAAGAAGTTCAAAGATGGGAAGAATGTCTACTCTTCAGTTTTGACTTGAGTCTGCCACCTTGAGTTCTTCATGCATATAGTAGTAATCAATCGTCCCCTTATTAGCCTTTATTAAATAAAACCTCTTTATTAAATAAAACCACTTCTTCCCCTCCCTGGAGTTGATATTGGCCAGGAGCCCCTGCTCCCATGATTTTTAAAGCATGTATGAGTCATTTAAAAGCACTGCTTTTCACATACTTATCTTGGAGGTTGAGTTTGAGTAATCTGGTTTTCAGTCCTTGCTTAGATATTAGGTCAGGAATTTGCACTTTCTGTTTCCATTGTCTCATCAGAAAGGATTAAAAAGGAAAAAAAGCTTTACAACCTGACGTGACTGCAAGTCACTTGGCAAGTACTCATTGGTATCAAAACGCTTCATATTTTTGCATTGTACCTTACAATTAAAGAGCTGACAAAATAGGTTCAGAATGTAAGAGAGGGGCTCTTTTTGGCATGGGGGTGGGGTGGGGAGTAACCGAGCAGATTCTTCTAGCTAAGAACTAGTTGTTGCTGTATTTTTTTGCTCATGATGTATTGAGAGACTGGTGAAATAGACTTTAACAGGAGGTGACTATTTGAGGAAACTTATTTAAAATTTTTTTCCTAACTGCCAGGTATGTGTGATAGAAGGTGTGGTCGAAGTTAGTAAAACTCTATCTGGGGGTGCCTGGGTGGCTCAGTCGGTTAAGCGTCTGCCTTTGGCCTCAGGTCATGATCTTAGGGTCCTGGGATCGAGCCTTGCGTCGGGCTCCCTGCTCAGTGGGGAGTCTGCTTCTCCCTTCCCTCTGTGCTCTCTCTCTCACTCTCTCTCGCTTGCTTGTAAATAAATGAAATCTTTAAAAAACAAACACACAACAAACTCTATCTGATCATTACCTGTGAAAGTGTAGACAAAGAGCTGGGGTATTGACAGTCTCCTCTTGGGCGATTTATTTTTTTAAACACAGGCTAAAAACCAGTTAAAGTCACTGTAGATCATTCTTAGTGTAAGATTTACAAGTAAAGTGTGTGCATGTGGTTTTGTGTGAGAGAGACACACAGAAGAAAGGTATGAATATAAGTCAGTTGAGTCAAACAACAAATTACTGAATTTTCACTGTATGTTTTCTCCAGGCTTAGAATGTTGGTACATCTCTTTCACATGCTTGGAGATGGGACCCCTCATTCCAAATTTAGTGTTAACATAGAACAGTTTATTTGAAGAGAAGTACACCATCCATCTTGTTCTTCTCACACTGGCTTTGCCTGCAGCCTTAATTAATTCATACCTCTTGCAGTTTATCTTCTTAAACGGCTCTGTTGTTTGTATGTTGTGGCACCTAAAGTATCTTGAGACCCATGGTTGTACCCCTCACTGTTTTTTCTGCTGCCTCTTTTCCAGAAGCACCGATAATGATGACGCAACTAAACGGAAAGTCAACCTGGTCTTTGAGAAAATCCAGACTTTAAAGTCTCGAGCAGCAGGGAGCACACAAGGAAATAATCAAGTAAATTGGAGTTCTGTATTCTGCAGAGGGCATTTAACTTGGAATGTGGCAAACAAATTGCTCTTTCTTCAGCCAGTACATTCCTATACATTTGGTTATTGCAGTAAGTAGAAAGTTACCTGAGTAGGGAGCAGGACCTAAGATGGAAGATCATGTTGTAAATATTATTGTGCACCTGCCTTTTTTTCAGCAAGGTTTTTAAAGAGATTTTATTTAAAAAATATATAACATATAACATGATGAAACAAAAAGGGGGTGAACTTTAGAAAGAGAAAATAAGGGCGCCTGGGTGGCTCAGTTGATTAAGCGACTGCCTTCGGCTCAGGTCTTGGTCCTGGAGTCCC